AAAAAAAAGAAATACAGCACCACTGGTGTGCATTGATGGTCTCCTGTCCAGGTACTAGGGCTGACCCTGCTTAGCTTCTAGGATCAGACAATATCTGGTGCCTTTAGAGAGTATTTAGGCCCTAATACTTGGCTCCTTTTCCCCTCCATGCTTACTTTAGTCGAGTGATACTGTCTACATATTGAACCAGTACCTGGAGTTCATAATGATCTGGATGAGGATTTTTAAACTGAAGTTGAATCACAACAGGGTGGAGGCCCCTTGGATTGGTGCATCTTCTGTGGAGTGGGAAGAAGATAACCTGTTCTACATGTTGCACTTCCTCTGAAATATCAAGTGTATAGTGCTAGGTTTCTTCCTGATCAGCACCTTAGTTGTAGCTCAGGTAGACTTGGTGGGCATGGGACTGGAATGATGTGGCAATAGCATTTCATATGCTAGTGAGTTCCTGATGATATTCCTGCAGTATATTGTACATAGGATTGCTCTTGAAGTTGACAAGGAATGAAGTTAACAGCCAGGCAGAATTGTATTACTTCATTTCAGAAGGGCCCATTCTACAGTGATCTAGCTCTGTCAACTTTAATGTCAGTCATTGTCATTGGTGCTAAAGAGTGTTTTCTCTTTAATTGTGTATATCTACATTGGTACATAGCAAAGCCTTTGATTGTGTAGATCATGACAAATTAAGTTGCTCTTAAAGAAATAGGTGTGCTACAACATTTGATTGTCATGATGTGTAACCTGTACTCAGGACAAGAGGCTACTAGTTTCCAAATAGTAAGGGGGTCAGGCAAGGCTACATTTTATCACAGTATCTGTTTAACTTGTATGCAACTGTATTACTGTATACGTAAATCAGGATTAGACTTGGTGAAAAGTAAAAAGGCAGGCTAACAGTTGAACATAAAGACAAAAATAATGACCACATATAATTTATGTAACATTAGTAGACAGTTAAGACAATTAATACAAGATCTTGAAGTGTAAAGATATATCATTGAATTCTAAAGTTAGGATTGACCATGTCATTGTATTCCCAATTTCTGTATCGTTGTGAAAGCTGGACAGTGAAGAAAGCTGATAGGAAGAAAATAAACTGATTTTAAATATGGTGCTGGAGGAGAATTCTACGTCTGCAATGGACTGCTACAAAAGACATATACAGTTGCCCCTCCATTTTCACAGGGGATCCATTCTGGACAACACCCCCCACCAGCCCTGCAGAAATGGAGATTTGTGAATATTCAAGCCCTATAGGCTTGAATGGGGTGTGCCCCTGTGGGTGCGGGCACCATTGCTTTAAATGGAGGTTGCCCCTCTGTGAATATATAAAACCGTGGACATGAAGTCCGCGAGAACAGAGGGGCGACTATAAATGGGTCCTAGAGCAAATCAGACCTGAACTCTCCCAAGAAGCCAAAATGACTAAATTGAGGCTCTCATACTTTGGTTATATCAGAAGAAGACATGATTCACTAGAAAAGACAGTGATGTTTGGTAAGGTGGAAGGCAGTAGGTAAAGAGTAAGACTGCATTCCAGATAGACTCAATCAAGGAAGCCACGGCTCTGAAGTTGAAGTCCACTTGATGGTGACAGTTAGGAACAGCGAGAACCAGTGTAGTGTAGTGGTTTAAATGTTAAACTATGACTCTAGATACCAGGGTTCGATTCCCTGCTCAGCTATGGAAACCCACTGGGTGATCTTAGATGAGTCACACACTCTTAGTCCCAGAAAACCCTGCGATAGATAGTGATCTAGAAATTACTTGAAGGTGCACACAACAACAACTAATTTGTTAATGGAGCAGATATTTAAGAGTGTCACTCTTTCCTGAGAACGTCCTTTGGAATGGTTTTAGAGATTAAGGCTACAGAGATCTTTCAGTGCTACCTTCTAGAATTCAGTCACTTTCCTCCTCCCATTAATATCTACACAGTATCAGTCTCTCTTAAAAGACTTGGTGTAGAAAACAGCATAATAACTTCAGTACAAGGAATTTCCTAATCTTTTAAACCAGATAAAAAAAAATTCTCCCTCTAGTATTGGTGTATGAGCTACAATTTGAAGTGAGTACTGCTAATCCGGTAATGACTTAGCAGGCTTCAGGACTTGTTTCCTTGCCAGTGCTAGAGGAACAATGAAAGCACATAAGTTATCCCAGGCCTCATTCCCACTATGTTTTAAACTAGTTTGCAAACTGGTTTGAAGCAGTTTAAATGACCTTGATTTGGACTTGAACTGAATCACTGAAGCAGTTTGTAGGAAGGCCCATGCACTAGACCAGGGGTAGGCAACCTTTCCCCTTTAAGGGCCGAGGGACTTCAGCTCCCAGAATTACAGGCCTAGGTAATTACAGGCCTAGGTGTTCTGTCACTGGAGACAAGTAGAATTCTGACTTGAAACATGTTGTATCTGAAAACTCACATCATGACAGAAGCATGATCTCATTGACAAACTCAAGTGTACAAGGGCAAAATGGGTTGTTTTATCTTCTTGTTAAATGTGTAGCTTAGCTTTTCACTCATGGCATGTTAATGTAGGGTGCTATCTATCTATTCTCTAATTGAAATGGACATAGAAATGATAAAATGGTTATTAACCAAAATTTGAAAGAGCCTTTCACAGCTGTGAAAGTTATTGGTCAGTAGTAGTGAAGTTGTCAACATTGGGTAGTACTGTGTTTTCCAGTGTATAAGATGACTGGGTGTATAAGATGACCCCCAACTTTTCCAGTTAAAATACAGAGATTGGGATATACTGGCCATATAAGACTATCCCTCTTCCAACACACATTTAGCCTTCCCTGTCAGAGAACTCTGGTGCCACAACAAACTACAGCTCCCATGTTCCCTAGCATTTATTTCTGCAGTGTGTTTTGGACCTTACTTTTTTAAAAATAGTCCAGATTTAAATGCTGCTTTAAAAATTATTTCCATCTCCCAGCTATGAGATGGTGGGGGGGGGATGAGAAAGTGTTGGGGGGAAGGCCTGCCAGTATACTAGGTGATGCATTCTGGGGTATGTACAATTTGCGGCCAAGTAAGTGACCCTGGGCATGTCACACACTCAGCCTCAGAAGATGGTAATGGCAACCCCGCATTTGAAGAAACATGCCAATAAAACCCTATGATAAGGTTGCCTTAGTCATAAGTCGGAAAGGACTTGAAGACACACAAGAACAACAAAAGAGTCTGCAATTGTTTCATAGGCAGTACATGGGAATAATAATAATAATAATAATAATAATGGTAGTAATAGTAGTAGTAGTAAATTTTATTTATATCCCTCCCCTCTGTCAAACAATCGGGGCAGCTTACAATAGTTAAAATTCCATACAACATGTTAAAATACTATCCAAAGCCCAAAACCCTCCCACCCCTTAAAAAAGTATTAAACCAATGATTATCATTAAAACATATAATTAAACATTAAATAATAAATCATTGAACAAACAGACATAATAAACAGAGCAGTGGTTGCAGCCAAGGAAAACAGAGATAAGAGGACTCCTGAGGCTGGGATCTCATCAGGAAAGGCCTGCCAGAAGAGATCCATCTTAACACCCTTTTTGAAGCTGCTTAAGGTTTGTAATCTGATGGATCTCATCCGGCGGGCCATTCCATAGTCTGGGAGTGGTTACTGAGAAGGCCCTCTGGGAGGTTGCTGACAGCCTAGTTTTCATCGGCTGCAGCAGGTTCTTCCCAGAGGACCTGAGTGTGCGGGGTGGATTGTATAGGAGGAGGCGGTCCCAAAGATAGGATGGACCCAAGCCATTTAGGGCTTTAAAGGTCATAACCAACACCTTATACTGGGCCCGGAAACTAATAGGCAGCCACTGAGGAGACTTCAATACAGGTGTTATGTGGTCTCTCCTAGATGTCCCCGAGAATAGGAGCCAACATGGACAATAGGAAGGAAGGAAGGATGATAGGAAGGAAAGAAGGACAGATAGATAAATGATAGGAAGGAAGGAAGGAAGGAAGGAAGGAAGGAAGGAAGGAAGGAGAGAGAGCATAAACAAGAGAGAAAGGAAGCGGAATGAATTAGGAAAACTCATAGCCTCCTTTAGCACCTAATGAAGATTCCAGCAAAACAATAAAACACATTGGAGGGAGGTCAGGGAGAAAGCCTATGCAATGTTTAATTTAAATATTATGGGGGAGGGGTCATCCCAAGTAGCCTAAGGTTCCAAAGTTTACAGTCCTTTACCTTTAGGGGGAAAGGCCTTTCTGAAATCTATGGACCAACATCACTTGCCACCATTTAATAAGTCCAGCCTTGGGCTTGGTTATGAATGTGATGTGAATTTTCTCTCTTGCTCCTCTTAGTCCAGGGAGAAGCTAGTCTATGCTGATCTGTCACATGTTTTTTTCCCCTGAAACTGACATCCTGCCCCTTATGGATAAAAGGGGAGGAAGGGAAGCCATGACTTGATGATATGAGATGAAAACTTTTCCTGATATAATAACCACTCTTTTGGCTATTGCAGTCTTGTAAACCTGCCATCTTGCAAACCTCCATCTCTCCAAGTCTCCTCACTTTGTTGCCATTCAAAAATAAAAATCACAGAATCTCAAAACCTCAGGAAAGCTGCATTTGGAAAGAAAGCTCCTCATCTCCCCACTCTTCCTCCTATGGGATCCAGGAATAGGATTCCTTCCCCACTTGGCTGACAAGAGGGAGATGGCATGCATGCCAACAGGAAAGCCTGAGAAACTGGGATTTGCAAACCAAATCCTCGGATTCCTTTTTGGTGGGAATGGCTCCCATTCAAGCCCATTCTGGAGCTGTGGGGCAAAACTGGAGCTCCTTTAGCCCCTGGGACCCCAGAGAAGCCCCTCATCCAGAGACCAAGACTCATAGATCCACTTGGGTTTGTTCTCCCACAAAAGGAAGGGATGCCAAACGAGGCTCAGATCTCTCTTGGCATTTATGGCCGTGGGCAAAACCATGTGTTTTCCTTCCCTTTGGAAAAGGGGCGCAAAACGCCAGGCACGTCCTCCTCCAAGAAAAGGGCTCCGAGCCCTACCCCCCCAACTCTGACCAGGGAAGGTGTCCACCCTGTCTCCAATGTCACCCCACTTGGAGGAGATGTGGGCAAGACAATCCAGGAGGGTGCCCCAGCCCCCCCATCCTTGCCAGCATCCACTTCCCTCCTTTGGGCACCGCTCTGAAATGCCCAGTGCCGGGGCATCGCCTGGCACCAAGCACCTTGGTAGCTTAAAAGCCAGGCTGGGCATCCTTTTGCAGCCATGGCTTAAAACACACATACACACACACACGGGGGGGGGGGGGGGGGGGGGAGAAAAAATAAAGAAGGCACGCTATTTTCTCCTTCTCCTCGGGATGGAAATCCATTGCATGTTTGCTACAGGAGCCGGCAAATACACGTGTGTGTGTGTGTGTGTGTGTGTGTATGTATGTATATAGGATATGTATATACAGGATCTCTCTCTCTCTCAATCTCTTCTCCCTCTATATATTCCCTCTTGCTCAAAAATGCCAAACAAAAGGACTTTCCTGTCATCTCCCCTTGTTTCCCTGGTTTGAGAAACCCTCCAGACTCCAATTCCACTTGGATGAAACCAATGCCTGCCCTCTTCCCTCCTGGCCAGCTTTGCATATGGGCATCCTGCCCTTTCAGCCTCCCTGATGCTTGGTGCCCCCTGGGCCCTTGGAGCCCCTTGGAGCTGGGCGTCAGGAAGCTAGATGCATGTCAGGATAGGAAAGGGGCTCCTGCCTAGTTGGAGGAGGGTTGGTGCCTCCATCTTTCACCAGGTGAGCAGCCAGCCAGCCAGCAAAGCCCCTCTCCCCTTGGCAGAGTTTATGATGCCAGCCAGCCGCTTATTCCAGTGGCGAGAGGGCAAGGGCCGAGGGAGAAGGGAGCCAAGGAGGAGGAGGGCATGACGATGGATGGGCACCTCGAGAGAAACCAGGCAAAACAGCCAGGAAGAAGATCAGGCCAGGTAGATCTTCCTCCTCCTCCTCCACCCGGCATGTAAGACAACCCCCGACTTTTGCGGAGATTTGAGGAGGTTAAAAAGTTGTCTTATACGCCAGAAATCATGGTATGTGCATTTCTGTAGCCTTCAGCCTTCACCTCCCACAATCTTTGACTACTAGCTTTGCTGGAGTAGGCAAATGGGAATTGAAGTCTATCTAGGAATCTACCTTGTCTCCTCCTGTCTCTGTATCATCTATTCCTCATTCTTACTTTTTAATCCAGGCTCAGCCTCTAAGCACTAGAAGTGTAGTTTTCTAGAATTCTGTTAGTGAAGATTGAATTTAAGGGCATTCTACATGTTTCTTTGATTATAAACTTGGGCAATAAGTATATTGTACATTGTGGGTACCATTTTTTTTTCTTATGAAGGAGGTAGTGCTGTTTTTATGCAGAAAACACCTTAAAATTTCTGATCTCAGCAACATATAAACACCGCAACTCCTTTTTGGTTGTACTCTATATATTTCTGGTTGCTTGCTTGATATCTTTTGGATTAAAGGCAGACCTGAATGAGACAAGCAAAATCCATGATCACAATGTCATGTGGTTTTAAGTGCCTGCATCAGGAGAAAGGCAGGGTATCACTGCTGCTGCTGCTACTGTTACTACTACAGCTACTACTACTGCTAATAATAATAATATAATTTAATTTAATTTTAAAAATCAAAACATTTTAAT